AGCTGTTAAGTCTCTTTTGGTAGACTTTTTCAAGCTTAGCTTCCCTTTGTATCTCAAAAAAAAGAAAAGAGAAAATTGCAAATAAAGACCGTGGAATATATAAAATTGCAATTTGGGTCCTTGAATTTATATAATTGCTGTCAGAGACCCGGTCCCAAATAAGAATTATGAAATGTTAGGTAAAAGACAAAAACGCCCTTCTGCTTTTTTTTTTGCAGTCCCTTGTCTACATGCCCTAACTTTATCTTTCTTCACTTTCCAAGTCGTCTCCCTCTTTCTTCACTCTCTGACTCGTCTCCCTCTTCTTGATGATGAACCATATAAATCTCTTGAAGAAATTGAGGCTAACACCATTAGAAATCTCCTTCCTGATGAAGATGGTCCATCTTCTGGTGTTTTTGATGACTCAAGTTTCAATAATTTACCAAAACTGGTGATAACCTGGAAGATTTTGATCTGTTTGGCAGTGGTGGAGGTATGGAGCTGGAAGGCGATGAACATCTGACTATAGGAAAAGGGGCCAATGGTCCAGATAAAGATCCTAGTTGCTTCGGACGTTTTAAAGGGAAACTTTCTTTTGTTGAACATTCTTCTAGAACAATTTTTGTTAGAAACATTAATAGCAATGTTGAAGATTCTGAGCTAAAGACTCTCTTTGAGGTGCTTCTTTATTATTTTACGTTGATAGATGCTATGCTAGAATTCTTAGAAAGTATTTTAGACTTTGAATATTATAAAAAGTCAATGCAATTTCTTGTTTGTTTTGACAGTAATATGGTGATGTCTGAACCAAGTTTGATAAGTTGTTGAAAATAACAAATTGACAAATTCTGATACCCACTTCACGACAAGTTCAATAATGCGAATAACAAGTTTAGGAAGGCAAATAACAACTTCTGATAAGCAATTCATAGAAATTCGAGTTTCTGTTAAGATGACAGCATTTTCAGATTTCTTTAGCAGATGACAAGTTCTGATACACAATTCATGACAAGTTCAGTAAGGCGAATGACAAGTTTAGTAAAGCGAATGACAACTTCTAATAAGCAATTCATAGAAATTTGAGTTTCTGTGTTAAAATGACAGGTTCTCATTAGATTTTCATACTTTTTCTGTTAAAATGATTGGATTTTCACATTGATTTATCAAATGACAGGTTCACAATAGAAAATGATAAGTTTCCATAAGATTTTCATACATTTTCATACTGTTTTTGGCTGGAATTGCAATTTGCATATTTCTGACAGCAACAACTTCTGATAAATATGAAATGACAAGTTAAGTATGGCAAATGACAAGTTCCCATAATGTTTTCATACATTTTCATACTTTTTCTGTTGGAATTATAATTTGCACATTTCTAACAGCACCCACTTTTGATAAACACGAAATAACAAGTTCATAATGGAAAATAACAAGTTAAGTATGACAAATGACAAGTTTTCATAATGTTTTCATACATTTTCATACTTTTTCTGCTAGGATCACAATTTGCACATTGCTGATAGCAACCACTTTTGATAAACAGTAAATAACAAGTCTACAATAGCGAATGAAAAGTTAAGTATGTAAAATGACAAGTTCCCATAACGTTTCCATACAATTGTAAATTTTTCTGTTAAAATAACAATGTGCAGATTTCTGACAACAAACACTTCTGATAAACAGTAAATTACAAGCCCATAATAGCGAATGATAAGTTAAGTATGTAAAATGATAAGTTCCCATCACGTTTTCATACAATTGTAAATTTTTTTGCTGAAATAACAATGTGTAGATTTCTGACAGTAACCACTTCTGATTAACATCTTTTATCATCAATTTCACCTCTCATTTCCTCCTAATGTATAAAACTATAGCACCAGAACTCTCATAAGCCCCTCAAGAAGCATGCTCATATCAACACCAGCGGCAAATGCACTATGATGATCATATCCACTCACAAGTGCATCCTCAACCATGAAATCCCAAATGTAAATTGTCATATCATATGAACAAGAAACCATCAAATTCTACATATAAGGTGAGAACTTTATTCATTTAGCACTGTATTTAAGGCTCGTTTGTTTCTCACATCCCACACCTTGATCGATTTATCCACCGAAATATAATCATCATACTTGATTTCCACAATTTAGAGCTTTTTTGCAATTATCAGAAGTTGGTGCTGTCAGAAATGTGCAAATTGTAATTCCAGCAGAAAAAGTATGAAAATGTATGAAAACGTTATGGGAACTTGTCATTTGCCATACTTAACTTGTCATTTTTCATTGTGAACTTGTCATTTCGTGTTTATCAGAAGTGGTTGCTGTCAGAAATGTACAAACTGTATTTCTAGGAAAAAAAAGTATGAAAATCTTGTGGAAACTTGTCATTTTCTATTGTGAACCTGTCATTTTCATAAATCAATGTGGAAATTCAGTCATTTTAACAGAAAAAGTATGAAAACCTAATGGGAACCTGTCATTTTAACAGAGAAACTCAAATTTCTATGATTTGCTTATCAGAAGTTGTATTCGCCTTACTAAACTTGTCATTCGCCTTACTGAACTTGTCATGAATTGTGTATCAGAACTTGTCATCTGCTAAAGAAATCTAAAAATGCTGTCATTTTAACACAGAAACTCGAATTTCTATGAATTGCTTATCAGAAGTTGTTATTTTCCTTCCTAAACTTGTTATTCGTATTACTGAACTTGTCGTGAATTGGGTATCAGAACTTGTCAACTTGTTATTTTCAACAACTTATCAAACTTGTTATTTTCAATTATGAACAGAAGCTGAAAATTAAAATAGAAATGAAGAATAAAAATCCAGATTTGTTGGGCGTTGTCTGAGCACCAAGCAATCATCGCACACTTGCCGTCGTCGCTACAACCATCTTCGACTTCAACGCAGAACTTGGTGACAAACTGGAACCCAATTCCCTGCTGAAGCTAGGCTTCAACAATATCCAACGGGAGTCTTGTTGAGCTCAATTATTGTTTCCCTTGGCATCCTTCTTCTAAGTCCTGTTATTCACTTGCTTTAGGAGAAGGAACAAAGAAGATGACAGAGGGGAAAGAGAGAATGAGAGAAGTTGGGAGAGATAGGGTTAAGGACAAGGAAGTGGGACTGGAGAAGAAGGAGAAGGAAGGGGAATGAGATGAGGAGGAGCAAAAAGAAGCACGGAGAGAAGGATCGAGGGGAAGAAAAGGAAAGAGAAGGAGATGATAAGATGAAAAAAAGGCAAGGAGAAGCAGAAGGGTATTTTTGACTTTGAATCAACATTTCATAATTCCTATTTGGGACCGGGTCTCTGACAGCAATTATATAAATTCAAGGACCCAAATTGCGATTTTATATATTCCATGGTCTTTATTTGCAATTTTCCCAAAAGAAAAGGTATTGAACTAAAAATTACAGTTTCCTGACGTCTTGTTCTCCATGATTTTAATGAGTTAATTAACGAGTTGTGAATTAAAAATAACAAGTATTGCATTAATAATTATAAGAATAGAATTGGAAATGGCAAGTTTCACAATTTTTTTGGGTACAGAAGGACATATGAGTAATCTAACAATATTTTTAAAATTCCAATTCAAGTATCACTTTCTTTCTATCATTTTGAAATGTCAAGTTCCTGAATTGAAATTACATATATCCAGAGTTTTTTATAAGGAATTTTGTCAAAGGATTACTTGTACCGAATTTTTTTGGTCATGCCAAGATACGGTCTACTTCTTTTTATGTTTTTAGTTTTGAGAAAATTCTAAATAAAAAACCTTGAAATTATAACATTTCAACTGAGGCACTAAATATACCACGTCACTTGTGCTAACTAATAAAAACCCAAAACGGCAAGCAAATTTTAATTCTAACTGTCACCTCTATTTTCTCTCTATTTCCGGTTTTTCACCTCTCCATTCTGACAAATTAACTTTCCTTCCCACCTCCCTCTAAATATTACAATTAACTTAAGAATCCAAAAATATTCTATTTAAATTAAAATTAAGGATATAATAATGAGATATTAGATAATATTCTTGACATCCCTGTTTAGCAACTCATGTTTCTAAAATATTATATATAATGGATAATCCTCAAATCTAAAAAAAAATGTTAAGTAAATAAAATACAAAATAACTAAAAGTAAACTAATTAGTAGCCCTTAAACATCTTAATTTTTGGTAAGTCCCCCTTAGATGTTGGATATCTATCAATATCTTATATAATCTCTCTAAAATATTTATGTTTATCATTAAATAAATTATATATCAATTTGTAAGTCTTACAAATTAGTTTTAAAAAAATAAATATAAATATTTTAAGTAATTTATTTAACTTTCTCAATATTCTTAAATAGATGTTTTTATTGGTGTACATATGAAACTGGAGACTCATTTCCAGTAACTTAGTCCAAGGTAATGACAATTTGATTATCTTCATGTTGAACTTTTTCCCATATTGTAATTACAATTTATTGGTTGTGCTTATGCACTGTGGATATTGCATTAACAAGGTTCCATTTGGTATGTGATTTAAAATATTGGCTATAACTTATTGTCTATTACCAACAAAGCAATGCTTATTGACAATAACAAATATGTACATGACTTTAGCTAATTGGATAAACCTCTGGTATGGGTAAATCACAACAACTAATTAGCTATTAATAACAATTTATATATTCACAAGAACAAATTAGCCAGGAACAATTTTGTGCAACATTTTTCTGTTGTAAGTAAATCACACAACTGATTAGTTATTAACACTTTCAATATTCACAAGAATTGATTATTTATTGACTGTTTCGTGTAAATTAGTCATTTTTTGATCTTCTAATAATTAAAGACATTGAAGTAAATTTACAAAATTCGAAAATTCCAAATTGGTCCCCTCTAACCATTTGGGATTTGTTGAATTGAATTGACTAATTTGGGATTTGAGCTTTTTAAATGGATCTAAATGACATTTTGCTTGATTTTTCCATTATATTAATTTAATTATTTATACTCCAGAATCGGTGTCGCCTTCCCCTTCTGTCAGCGGAGATGGCCGGACGGAAGCATCGGAAGCGGAAAGACGGCTCAAAACGCCGTGAAGTCTCCTTGACCCGCGACGGAGGATCCTCTATTCATCGCTCAAATCCCTCAGTCGACGACGAACCTCTTCTTCTCCGCCGTCGTCCCCATTCTCCTCCATCTTCCCCCTCGGCTCTCCGAGACCGCATCGCCGCCAAGAACCGTGAGATTCAATCCCTCCTCCTCGATAACCAACGGCTGGCAGCCACGCATGTGGCGCTCAAGCAAGAACTGGCTGCCACTCAGCAAGATATTCGGCACTTGTCCTCTGCAGCGGCCGAAGTAAAGGTTCAGAGAGACATTGAGGTTCGCGAGATTTACGAGAAGTCGCTACAGATGGACGCCGAAGTTCGGGCCATTGAAGCCATGAGCTCCGACTTGGCTCAGGTGCGGGCGGATGTACAGGAACTAATTGAGGCCAGGAAGGACCTCGCGTCGCACTTGCAGGCGATTGAGAGCGACCTTGCGAGGGTTCGTGAGGAGTCGCAGCAAGTGCCTGCAATCAAGGCGGATATTGGGGCTATGCGTCATGAGATTCAACGAGGAAGGTATGTTTCTGCTACGCCTAATTCTTGGACCACTTTTCTACATTTCTAATCAGTGTCGCTTTATTTGTTTATCTCCTGTGTCAGCATCATTTATGTGTATGAGAGAAAGCAAGCTTGAATTGATCATCTTTGTGTTGGGTGAACGATTCAATGAATTCCATGTATCTAATGGAACATATGGTATTATATGTTTATATGCTTTTAAGGACATATGTACTTGGTTGGTTTATTTTTCAAAAATTGGTCTGCACAAAGAAATTGATATTGATAATTGATAATACATGTACAAGCGCATGATATCGCATTCATACTTCCGTGAAAGAGGGTAAACATATGCAATTCACATACTGTTATAGTGGGCATGTGACCGTTCTTATTGCTTCACACACATCCATCTCTATTCTTCTAGGGTTGGTGTGTGTAATGATGTGATGCTTCGACATTATTTTGGCATAACGATAGTTCATGGCTTAAGAAAATGAGCAAATATTTGATTTGTAAATTGTTATCGATATCTTATTCATGTTTGCAGCTTGTGTTATCAGTCCTGATATTTGCTTGTTAATCAGCTGATTTGTCGATTAAATATGCCTGTGTATACAGTGCTTCTGTCCTTATATATCTCCATACCTGTGCCTTAAAGTTTATCAATTTATAGAATCCTATGTATTATATCATGTCATATTCAATACGTACACCCATATCAGTATTAATTAAAGTAACACTTTTATGAAAAATAAAATAAAATAAAGCAACATTATGTCATGTACCAAATGGGGGGAGAAGACCTAGTGATGGGAGAACAAAGATTAAGTTTAATGCCTTATTAAGTAGAAGAGTGAAATGAGTGCCATGTGATTATTGTGGCACTTTCTGCACGATATGTTGAGTCTGAGGTTTTTTTGGTTGAAAATACAAAGAACATTGGAAAGCATTTTGATATGTGATTGTAATTGTTTGGCCACACCCCAAGAATGCGACAGCCTTATCAAGAACGGCCAAGAACTCCAAGTAGTTGACAGTAAGGTAGGTTCCTTCAGTCATGAGTCCCGAGATTCTTTCATAACTAATGGTTGCAGTCTGTCTTATTGTTCTAAGTTCATCTCTTTGATTTCAGATTTTGTACTCTACCTTGTACTTGACCCTTGAGGCGAAGGGTCCCTTGGGAGGGGGTATTGATATGATATTGTAATAATTTAAAGAAGGGAGTTAAAGGTAGTTGGGGTTTATTAGCCGTTAGTGATGTTAGTGACTATTAGACCGTGAGAGTCATAGGCTATAAATAAGAACCAAAAGGTATTTGTAATTCAGGTTGTTGATAGTCAGTGAAGTGAATTCGTTCATTTTCTCTCGTCTCTCTGTTTCTACTCTCCTTATATATATCTCTTTTCTCCTCTTGTTCAGATTAAAATTCTCCATCACATTTCAAGCATGCATGATATACTATTTGACCAATGAGCATCTACGTGCATGTGAAATTCTTCTTTTGTTTGCCCTCTCTTTTGACAATCAGATGCTATAAATAAGAACTAAAAGTTATTTGTAACTCAGATTGTTGATAGTCAATAAAGTGAATTTGTTCAGTTTATCTTGTCTCTCTGTTTCTACTCTCTTTCTGTCTCTCTTTTCTTCCTCTTGAGTCTTGACCAGATTAATATTCTCCATCGCATTTCAAGTATGCAGGGTATATTATTTGACCAACGTATGAAATTCTTCTTTTTTTTGCCCTTACTTTTGACAATCAGATGCTGAAAACCGCTTACCTCACTGCAATAATTGCTTTATACTTTTGTTTATTGATTAATTTAGGAATGCAATTGAATATGAAAAGAAGACATATGCTAGTAACCTTGAGCATAGACAGACAATGGACAAAAATATAATAATTATGACCCGAGAAGTTGAAAATCTACGGGCTGAGCTTAATGCAGAGAAGAGGGCTAGGGCTTCAGCTGCTCTCCCTGCAGTGACAGTGATGAATCCAAGTAACTATCTTGATCAATTATCTTAAAGTTTTCTATATGCAACAGAAGCATGACAAGAAAGTTTGGTTGAACTTTGTTTTAACATTTTTGGACTTGTTTTGTATTTAGGCCCTGGGTATCCTCCAAACTATGACAGTCCTGAAATGGGATATGGAGGATTTGCATACTCTGAATCCTATGGCATGCATAAGGTATATATCAAACTTTTCTGTATTTATTTCATATTTTTCACAAGCTACTCCAAGTTAAACATGCAGTGGGAGCTTTGCATCTGAAATATTACACACATGTTTAGTTGCTGCACAAGTAACCAAAAGAAAAAGGGAGGAGGAACAGCACTGCTTAATGCTTATTAAGTGAACACATAAACAATATTAAACAAGATAATATTGCATATTGACTGCGTGGTATTTAAAGACATAGGATAATCAGTATAACTAAGCTGTTGCTAACTCTGGTCCTTTCTAAAAGAACCTTTGGGGAAGTTTGCTTTGGTTCTGTTTAGAAGAACCCTCCAAATTGTCTTCTACATTACTTTTTTATATATATATAAAAATACCCTTAGTTACTTTAATCCAAAAGATCAGTGAACTTATTACCATTGACTATTCATAATTATACGGGTTCAAAAGGTACTTGCTCTTCCAAACCTGAATTTTGTTTGAATTAGGTGAAAGTGGAGTGAACCATTTGTGAATGAATGAAAACTTGAAATGAAATTTGTTTGACTTGATGGGAAAACACAGGAAAATATGGAGCAAATCAACTTGGAAACATTCAATTTACAGTCCACCAACATCTATTTCTTAAAAAGTGAATAGAAAGTAAAGATAATAGAATCCATACAGTGATAATGCGAGGTAAATAAGTGTTACTGTATGCATTCATGAAACGTGTTATCCTTTTCTTTTTCCTTATCCCCCTCTCTTTTTTGGCCATCTTGAAAAATGGATAATTAGATATATTACTTTTTCATGTCGGATGAATTCTAGAATAACAAATCACATATTTTGCAAACATTTTCAGATTCAAGGTGGGGCAAATAATGCTCATTCTCAATATGCATCTGGAGCAGCTTTACATCATCATCCTTCTGACGTGCAACATATTCATCGATAGTCATTCCGTAAATGCATACGTTTGGAAATAACAGACGGAGAAAATCTGTAAGCAGTCGATATTATTTAATTTTGAAGAAATTATTCATCAATGGTGGGTTATAATTATGGTCAGATCTGATAGGGAAAAAGTTATAAGCTAAGCGTCAAGTTTTTTAATTAGCAAGCTCCAACCAAATAATACTTTTGTGAAGTCGTAAATGGAAATATGTGCGCGTTTTTTTAATTAAATTATATTACTTTTTGTTTTTAATATAAGATCTGCTTAGCTAATTTAGTTAAATTAAGAAAAGTAGTTAAATTAGTTGTTTGTCAAAAACATATGTTGGCTTTTTAAGATATTCTCTTAAATTATTTGGATTGAAACTCTTTTTAACATATAAAATCAACAACATTATTTCGGATAAGTAAAAGGGACAATAATTTTATATTTATAGTTAAATTTAATATCCCACGGTTTAAATGCGATCCATCACGGTGTGAAAAAAGGAGGGAAAGAATGCGATCCAATTGGTAAACTGTACACAGACTCAACCTTTGATAAGCATTGAAAACTTCTTTTTAATTTTTGTTTATTTTTTTATTTTTTACAGTTCTCTGTTCAAAGTGAAACAGTCGTTTTAAGGGGCCTTGACACATATTAACACCATTTAAACCAGGAATAAAATAATATATAAAAATAAGATAATGTTACAAGGGAACAGATTGGATTTTAACGGATAATGAAAATTGTCTTTGTTACAAGAGAGAAGAAAAATATGAATAAGACAATAGAAAGAAGAGGAAAATGTAATGGAAGCAAAAGGAAAAATAGATTCATTTAGAAGCACACCAAATGCGCATCCTATGGTCCATACCCTATATACGTTATATAGGCCTCTGAACAAAATTAAAATAACAAAAAAATTAACTTAAAAAACCAGAGTTAATTTCAAAATTGTCTCTCAAAGCTTATGGACAAAAATGTTTAACATAATCTTTCAAATTTGATCTTATTTTAATTGTAATCTCTAAAATTTAAAATCAGTAATTTTGATTTCCAAAATTTGATTTGTTTGTCTAAAAATTTTGGCAAACAATAATTTTGTTTTTGTACACAAACAAGATTTTAAGAAACAAAATTATTAATTTCAAATTTCAAGGACTAAGATTACTTATTTCAGGAACTATTAAAAGTAGTTTGATACAATCATAGCCTAAACTCATCAACACATAACAGGAAATAATTTTACTCTCAATTTTAAACTTGGAAAGTCCCAATAATAGGTCAAACTCGGATCCAACTGAGCTTAAATTCCGCACGCTCCAACAAAATTATCCACTAAACAAATTTGCAAGCCACCTTGAATTTTCAGCCCATTGATGCCAAGGCACCACGAGCTAATCGATCACGAGGCAAAGGGCATAGTGTTGATACTTGCAGCAAGAAACACATTTGTTAATAGAAGCGAAAAACCCTTTAATGTCCTCTAAATCTCCCAAGGACTTGGTACCAAGTACCCTTTAATGTCCTCTAAATCTAAGGAATTAGTACCAAGTCCCGAATGATTTGGCCACACCCTTGATATTTCACCCAAGGGAAAAAAACCCAATTTCCACGACGAAAAGGGCCCTGAAGCAGAGGGAAATCCATAATTATGCTCACCTTTCAAGATGCCCAAATACAAGATAACAAGATTCTATTTCCTGAAACCACTCATGAGACCAGTAGCGAAATAAAGTAACAAAGCAATCGACCATCCACCGAGAGCATACCCAAAAAAGCATAATATAAGGAGAAGTTGACTGCGTCCAAAAGATTTGACTTCAATAACAAAAAGATGCCTTCCTACACTATCGCAACTCTACAAGATAAAAATCTTATCACAGACTCGGCTGATAAAATTAATACATATAAAATATATATTATTTCTATGCAGCCACACTTTAAGCAATGAATAAGACGACCTGTTGGCAGAAAAAAAGAAGACTCACTCTTCCTGCTTTATGCGCATGGCAAAACACCTCCATCCTAGTTAAAAATACCATTTTATTTGATGTTAAGTTGTCTTGCCTGGTTTCTGACAAAAATACTTCTCCCAAAAGACCATAAAATGTTTGACGTTGCGTTTCCAAGGAAATGATAGTTATTGCTCATGAACTTGTTCTATTGTGACTGTTGCATATAATATTATCAATATAATTGATACAAAATAAATAACATTGATGTCCATTTGGTAGTATGGGATACCAAGTCTCATATTGAGTAGAATGGAATGCTCAATTGAGTATTTAAGTCGATTGGTTCTCCCACCTCAACAGCTAGCGTTTGGGATAAAACTCTACATCCCACTTAGGTACCCATCAATTAGTATCAGAGCCAAACTGTCAGCAGTTCTGAAAAAGACTACCCATGAAGGGTTCAGACCGGTAAGATGCTGAGAAAAGTGCCATGGAGTATAGCCGCCAAGACGTCAGCTTTTCATGCGGGGCCAATTGATGAAAAACATGTAGTATGGGATACCAAGTCCCAAGTTGAGTAAAAGAGAATGCTCATTAGGATATCTAAGTGGGTTGGTTCTTTTACCTTAGCTAATTTTTAGAGTAGATTTTGCCATCTCACTTAGATACCCATCAAATAATTTTTTCATGTCTTCATCTCAAAACCTCAAGACCAAATATGCGACAAGGACCCTAGTCCTCAAGGCCAAGATTTTATGGCTTGAAGTTACAAGTTGACAATAAAATAATAAAAAATACCCTGTAATGTAATGTGGGTTGATAGTAGCATAGTTTTCCCGGCAAAGTGAATTAAACTTTAAATGCCTTCTTAATTAGGATCCATCATAGATCTACGAAATCGTGGCATGCCTTCCATTATAGACGAGCCAATTTCTAAGCATGTATAAAGCATGGTTACATGAAAGCAGCACTCACCTTAAAATTCAACCTACCTTAGCAGCAAGTTGGAGACTATCCACCTGGCTCTATAAAACAAAGATCGGCATAATTTAATTAACCCCTGGCTAAAAGTGATAATCCGCCAGCTAGTGACAAATGGATCAAAAAGGAGCAAAGAGGTTGCTAGTATTAACCTACCTCTTTGCTTCCATTTCAAGAGACCAGCCAACTGAACATAATAAATCCCTCAGACCACAAATCATAGTACATAAACAGCTTCTTGCTGTAGTTCTCAGTATGGACGTGATCGGTTTCCACCAAAGTTGTCACGCCTATCAGGACCTCCACTGTCTCTGTAGTTATCTCTGCGTCTATCTCCACCATATCCACCCCTGTTGCCCCTATATAATAGAAACAGATTCAAGTGTTTATATTTAAAAGAAAAATACTCGCAAAATCAGCCATATATTCATACAATAGTCCATTTGTCAATCATTGGTATTTCAAGTTAACAAAGAAAATGGCTAGTATATTGCAACACAATCTTCCAGTTGACCGATAGAGCAGATGAGAAAATCAATATTTTTCCATTGGTTTCACATGACAGGAACAAAACAAACACCAAATGGAAACTGATCTAGCTTAGATTTCCTCAGAATTTTAGTGGGCATCCACGATCACAGTTAGAATTCTACTGTTTTTAATGACAGAAGGAAGCTTGAATGGTGAAAAGAGATAAAAGGTACAAATTCTGAGCACGAACAAGGTATGCTGAACAAAGAACAAAAAGCCATACTTCAAATAGGCTAAGAAATTTTGCCTTGCACCAAAACCACCAAAGCAGATTTATTGTGAAACATCACAAATTTTTGCCTTCAAGTTCAAGCACGTGGGAAGTGCAGTGCGACTAGTTGAGCCAACCAAGAAAATAGAAAACAAACCTCCGCACCTTTTAATAGAATTTTAAGTAGTATTACACATAAAACTAAGGAAATAATCTGCACTTCCTTCCAATGAGGATACTACAACTCATAAAGTACAATGTTCTATATTTGGTCTAATAATTGAAGATAAATAAAACAGCTAAAGAAGTTTAATCAGTGTAGGCAATAGCATGGTAGCCACTACTACTACGATTTTTGAAATAATTTAAGATGTGTTGAATTGTTAATCCAACTATAAAAGGTGGATAAGTCTCAATACCTGAGAACAACAATCATGAAACTTAAATATAATTAAGCCAAAACCAGGAACTAACACCCCCAGAGAAAAAGAAAGAAAGAAGTCTGTTGGCAGTTCAAGAAGAAAGTGCAATAAAGGACCAAAGAGCTAATCTTGCTATTGAATGAAGAGTATCTTAAGATGTTGTGTTGATTTCAAACGATTAAAACAAAAAAAAATTGATGATTATGCCCCTTCAGGCCAGACGGTGTAATGTGTGTTTATTTTGTTCTCGCATCATTTATATTTTAGGGTCTTTGTTGTGTTAATTTCGTTCATGAAGAAAATGAACCCTATGACCCTAGAAAATAAGAGACCTGCGAAGACCAACATTCCAGCAGATGCCACAGGCCCATTATTGACAACCAGCACAACCATGGCTGACGCTATTTCCTAACAGACTGAAGCTGCCATGCACTCAGGCCAGTCACAGATGAAAACGTATACTAGTACGCAGGCCACAGAGAATGGAAGCATTAGCAACCATCACAGCAACCACTCATGATTTCATTTTCATGGCAAATAACTATCCAAGATTTCAACAAATAAATCATTTCCAACTGCTAACACATTAAAAGAACCAAGATTAAGAACATGGAGGTCAAACACAATATTTTCGTATAGCAATCTATCACCAAAAATGAATTGAAATAACAATCACAACTCCACTTGTCACAAACAATCCCCAAGGGCACATGAATAATATCACAATTCACAGAGCGTGCATGGTGTCAAATAAAGAATGGAAGAAGATTTATCAAAGATACCCATATGCAGGTGGAGCCTTTGGTGCAGTTTTTGCTGCCATGGCGACACTAATTTTGTGGCCCCTCAAATCATAATCTAAAATGCAACATTCATAATTAGCTTCTTTACATTAGAAAAAATATAAAGATATCAAAATTTAAAAGATGAGGAGCCAGATGAGGTACCATTGTAGAAACCACCCGCAGAATGTGCAGCAGATGGATCTTCATATGAAAGAACAGCATCACCCTTATTATTTCCTTGTTCATCTGTGTATATTTTTATGTTCCAGGGCCACTGATCTTTATAGCCCCTCTTCTGCTTTATCCTAGCAACCTACATCAATGAAGTATGTTCTTAGTACAAGGATTCACACTTCACAAAATCAATCAGATAGACATAACAGTAATCCAAGAAACTCACTGACGCATTCTGCCTCAACAATTGAAAAAGAGAATTAAATTTCAGATAATTTAGTTATCTTCTAAAGAACAAAGACAAGTATGCTAATGTCAAATTGAATCTCTGTCATTATTCATAACCTACATAAGCATGCATAGGATTCCCAGAAAAAAAAGCTTGCTAAAGAAGCACCCTTCACATAATGAGATATGAGCCTGTGGAAAAGTAAACAGATGAGAATATTACTTGTCCTATTCCTCCAAAAAGCTCTCTAAGCTCTTCAATTGTCACATCCAGCGGTAAATTAGATATATAGATTCTAGAGTTGTCACATGATTCATCGCAATTCTCATCGCACTGCTTCACTTTAGCTGGCGGCTCTGCAGGAGGTCCACCATATCCACCTCGATTACCAGCACTACCATCATATCCAGCTGGTGCCCCAGCCCTACCACCACCTCGTGCATCACCTGAATTATCTCCACCATAACCACCCATGTTACCACCATAGGATGGAGGGTATGAAGTGGGGCCACCAGTATAGGTTGGAGGTGGAGGCACTGCTTCTGAGCCGTAACCACCCATGTTACCATCATATGAACTGAAAGCGGGTGCATAGTTTCCACCAGTACCATCATAAGATTGGGCTGTAGGAGGAGGCACTTGACCATAGCCACCATCTTCTCTACCATTGAAAGAGTGCTCCCTGCTGCCTCCCCTCCTTCCATCATTGTAACCACCACTGCCCCTGCCATAGTCATTACCTCTTCCTCCATCATAGTTGCCAGATCTACCCCCTCGATTGCTGCCATATCCCCCATCCCTTCCTCCTCTGTTGTAAACGCCAGCACCACCACTGCCACCCCTATCACCAGCACCAGTAGGAGACGGTGCGCCGCATTTGTTACATTCAGTCCTTCTCGCAAAATTCAGGTTTCCACAGCTACATATATTGAATTTCCATCAAATAAAAATACGTGAGAATTCGCAGAAGGTAATCCAGATTTTTTTTTCCCAATTATTCAAGACTAGAAAAAGACTTCTCCAATAAAGTATCGCAAAAATAAATCAGAAAGCAAGATCTCAAACCTAGGGTTTGGGCAACGCCAATCTCCGTCTCTACCACCTCCACCACGGCCACCTCCCCGTCCACCACGGTCACCTCCTTGATATCCACCACCTGACATTTACATCTAATCAGGACACGATCGGATAAGAAAATAAAACCAAAACGGCAATCAAACAAAGCACAAACCTCGACCACCATAACCTCCTGCTCCTCGACCACCATAACCTCCGCCTCCTTGACCCCCATAACCTCCGCCACCTCGACCACCATGACCTCCACCGCTGCCTCTCCCGCCATAACCACCGCTCCCCCTGCCTCCGTAAGTTCCGCCCTCATTACCGCCATAGCCGCCAGCAGCGTTACCTCCTCCATAGCTGCCTCCTTGATATCCTCCTCCGCCACCATAGCTGCCTCCTTGATATCCTGCGCCACCATAGCTGCCTCCTTGATGTCCGCCGCCACCTCCGTAAGGCGGAGGCGCAGTACCACCACCGGCATCTTGATCGTACGGCCCAGACATGATCCAATCTAGGTTTTTCAGGACCAAGAGCGAGAATGAGATGAGAAAAGTATACGCTCCGGTGAAGAAATTGATTATCCAAAAGGGACGGAGAAAAGGATAGTGGCTGAAGGTATTATTATCAACATATCAAGCTAAGATCTCCTTGCCGACTTCATGCCACAGAAGATAGGGTTTCATCCGACAAATCAAATGAGAAGGAAAATTTTAAAAAAATAAAAAACTTGGACCCAAAAACATTAAAAATGAGCTAAAATTTTCTAACAATAAAGTTAATACAATTTTTAGTCTTTAAATTTACTCTGGATCATTTTATCTTTTGAGGGATCAAAATCTATAATTTAAAATTTAAAAAACTAAAACCAAAATGAAAACAAATATAAAAAACTAGAGATTATATCAATCATTTTCTAATTAAAAAGTTCTAGGGCGATCTTTTTTAATATAATTATTCTTTAACTGTCTGTAACATATTTATTATTATATATAAATATTTTGGTGTGGCATTACACAGTTAAAATAAGCATCTGAATTTGTAAATAAATTCCTAATACATTTGCATCATTTTTAATGTTAAATAGATTTTAACTAATTTTTTAAAAAGAAAATGCAATGTTTGCCTTCATGATCGGTATAGAATATTAAAGAAGTGACTATCTTGGATGGAAAAATAAAAATAGATTTATAATTACATAAAAATATAAATATAAATTAGTTATGAATCCAGATAACAACAGGTTATTTTAGTTTAATTAAATAAAATTTGAATCTCCATTTAGGAATTTCTTTACCCCACTATGTTTTACTTTAAATATAAAAATAAAAAATAACTCAGTTGAAGCGAACCCTTCCCCTGGAACTTCCAACGAAGGAGAAAATAGCGACCGAATTCTTGTCAAACAAAGCAACCGATTTCCTGATTATTCTGCCTACTTTTTTTTCCCCCCCGTCTTTCGATTCTATTTTTGAATCATTTAGATCACACATTAGCAGTCCAATTTTTTTGTCCATAATACTCCTCCGTCCTTAATATAAGACCCGAATTGGTTTTAGTCCTATAAAACCCATTTGAATTTTTCTAAATTACCCCTATGAATACTCTCAACCATAATCAAGTAGGAAAATGGAGTATTAAGAAAGATTATGGTATTTAGGAAAAAGCTAACTTCCTTAATCTAATCAAATTAGTTAAATAGATCTTATATTAGTATTAAAAAATATAGGGGGAAATATCATTTACATCATCATGCTTATAAAAAAAGCCTTTTTTTTTTTTGGAAAAAGTAGTTGGGTTTTAGATCTAGACTATCTAAATTTGACCAAAACAGCCGAACTAAAGATTGGAAATAGGGGGAAGAAGACTAAAGAAGCCACTATGCTCAAAATCTCAAGGCGTAACTTCACTTGATCTCAAATGGAGAAGAAACCAACCAAAAAAAAAAAAAACCATGGACAGGCAGACATTAATGGCATAATAGTCAGGCGAACCATTCAGTTCAACAAGAAATATTTGCAGCAGAACTACTATATGCCAGCGAGCTACAAAAATGATCCTCATCTTACCTATGTCAAACTGCAAAAACATGCCAAGAAGAAAGCTCCCAGTAATGTGAACCCCTGATGATAATGATGGACCCCAAGAAATTCAGAATGAGAAGTGTGAATCTCAATCGGAAACCTACAATGATCACTCGATGGATCGACAGTTGTGATCAAACCCAAACCCCCAAAATCACAGCTTTCTGCTCTCTGATCATGCTGCTGATAGTAGCTATTAAAAGCGTATGATATGTTGCCGGGCCAGCTTAAGTTAAAGCAAGATCCACCAGAAGATAGGGCGGTACAATCAGCATTTGAGCAGGCATATGCAGCACTAGCAGTGGCATTGGACATGTCTTTATTGTTGTTCACCACACACCACTTGGAAGAAAGATACTCAACGTTTTGTGCATTTACAAGGTTCTTGGATGAACCTTGGCCAAGATCAACCTGGTATTTCGCTTGGCCATCAAAAGTGAATATACCCCAATGCCTCTCGAAGTTTCCAGAAACAATGCTCCTTTGGTCCTCGTCAAGAAGGCTAAATAGGTATGTTTCAGCAGGTGGATGCCGAGGCTTAACCGGGGTGCCCAAGTTGCTACGAAGGTGGTTCATCAAACCCTTCATAAAGGTCTCTGCAAGATATGAAGTTGCATTGGCTGCTCCATCTGTTGGCCAACCGATCTTTGACACGACAATGTCCATATTTTGAAATCCTGCTGCTGATAGTGCAGTCACCACTGTATCATAGCTCAAGTCAAAGCTATTTTTGTATGCTTTATGGTTATCATGACGAATGTGCGGGGTTTCTCTGAAGAGCACAAAGTCCAGCGATATGTTTTTGTTCTGCAGGTGTTCTACGAATGGAGAAATACTCACAAAGAAAAGGGACTCATGCTTATTAAGAAATGACAGGAGTTCAATCATGGTTTTGTTGAGGTCAGGTCTGAAGTGTGCTTTGGAAGGAAGGTTAGATTCTGACTGGAAACTGTCCAAACTGCATGGGACCACGACTTTCACTCTGCTATCCAGTTTCGCTCTCACTAGACTTGCCTGAATGTTTGCAACTGCTCCAATAACGAAGGGATGAAATTGCTCACCATAGCTTTGGAGAAATGGCTCATCACCCACAGCAACATATCTGCATAAGTCATGTTTAGGACCGTATCTATAATTAGATCATTCTTCAAAGTAGGCTAAGGGATAAAGTTTGCAGTACAGTTAAGCGGCTCAAAGCCTTTGAGCCTCCAACCAGACTACGGAAGTATATAACACCTAGACGAAGTTCTCATTAGCCAGTTTAGCCGACTAAACCAACAAGAAATATAAAGGCCATCTCCCCATCTGCTCTGAAAGCTACTTTTGTAATACGTGCAATGGCTTTCACTTCAGTTGTAATTGGGCAAATTACATAGGTCATGTTATCAAGCAGTAAGCAATTTTTATTAGATTCTGTTGAAGGATGAAAAAATTGACACCTAGACATATTATCTCTATCATTATCTTGAAATTAGAAAATTATTTTTAACTTTGTCTGACATTTTTAATGTTTATGATTGTCTTCAATAATAAAGTTATGGAACAAGACCTTCTGATCAATAATATATCTTATCTGATAGAGTACAAGGCATCATACAATTCATATGACCAACACCATGTGGTGGGACAAAACTTCTTGTCTTCAACAATATCATATGAAGCCTTCCCAGTTACCAAGTCTGTTTTAAAATTTTGCTAGGAAGGCAAAGGAAGGAAAGAAATGAATGCTTTCCAGCAGAAGAAAAATGAAATATAAACAAGACAGTCCTCAAAGTAGATGATGTCATGGTCAGGGAGTCAAGAGTACTCAAACGATCCTGTCTAGGTTCTCAATGTGACTTATGTGGTACTCCTCCAATCCTTAATGCAGAACATATTTGTCAGTTTTTTCTAAATTACACCCCTCAACCACAATTAAGTAGGAGAGGAAAGGAAGATGATTATGGCGTTTTAGGAAAAACATGTCATATTTCTTATAATTAACTAACTCACCTAATTTTCTTAATTTAATCAAATTAGTTAAACAGGTCTTATATTAAAGACCAGAAGAGTAACAAATATTATACACAGGCAATCTGAGTCTTAACACAAGATACAAATTCCATTGAAACAATCTATCATAGGAACAAGTCTACACCACCAACTCTGCATCATCAGACTAAACCTCTGCAAACTGATCAAACATTTTCATAACCAATATTCTCAAGTTGCAACACTAGCAATTAACTTGACCAAGTTACAGATTTAAATCTTTAAAAATGACATACCCAAACATAAAGTTTTCATCTGAGATCAGAACGTGCATTATATATGTAATAGAAACTGCTACATTTTTCCTCAGTATCGGAACCACGTTTCTGCTAGAGGCAGAAGTGATAGCTGAAAATGCAATGCAACATGTTATCACATCTCCACCTTTACGATCATCACTATATTTGAACTAGCAGACAATGCAAAGGTGAAAGTGGCATACTCAACTCCACCTAAGGATAATCAGGCTGCACGTAAAGAAAAATATTGGCCTGACACCAGAAAATGCATGATATTATTTTTACTGCATTTGAAAAACTGCCAAGGCAAGGTAAACAAAGAAAAACGAATCTATAAAATGGCATATGACATAGTATTCTTCTTGGTCTACTGTCTCAACTCCAAACCTAAGAACTAAATTTGAGTTTTATTTTTTATATCCTTTCCTTTTTGGTAGGAGAAAGAAGGTAGTAAGGATTTTATACTCCTAGTGCTATAGTTAGTGCACGAGTGACATGCTGGAGATTCTAAAGGGTAGGCATAGATTCAACCGAAAGCATTGCTTCCAGGGATCCTTTGGTCACTTAAGAAGGCTATTCAACGAGCTTCTCTTAGAACTAGGATTAATTCAACAAAATGATAACTAAATAAGATTCTGCAGTTGTTTATGAAAAATGTGCCCTTATGTTTACAAAATTGTTCTTTCCTTTACAACTTAACTATCTCAAAATTTATGCGGTCATGAACTCTTCTTTTGTTCTTCGGGGCCTTATCAAGGCTAAGATAAACCAATATGGGACTTATAAGAAATAACAAGGAAGAATCACAAGCAAAACAAGCAACCAAGTCAGCAGATTAACTTCTGCTATTAGCGTTACATCAACTTATCAGCAAAATCAAGGAGAACCAAAATGACCTGGAAATCGAAACGCAATATCTAACCAAACCCATGAACAAAACTATCAAGCACATATATCACCAAAAAAAAAAAAAAACCATCAGCCTCATAGATACAGAACATACTCGATTCGAACTCCGCTTCCCCCATTAGAAATGTATCGAGTCACATTATCATGGACCCAGCTATCAGCAGCCTTCTTGGAAGAGTTCAAGCTTCTAAGCATAGTGTTAGGAATACCCACAGTGACGCCAATGTTAGACCCAGAAAGCGCTTGAAGAACATTTGAGTCAGCATCAAAGAGCTTGACCTTGTTGATGTTGTTGGACTTCAAGAGGCTCACCACCTTGTGGGGAGGAAGTGGGTGGGAAGCTAAAGTACCCCAGTTTACACCCAGTGCTCCAACCCTACAAACCATGCTCGTAATGACGGAGAAGAAGATGATGTAGCAAGAATTGGTGACCATTGGGGAGTGTGAGAGTGACAGTGAATAATAAGTAGGAAAGGAGGGTTCAAAATTCAGACCCCGGAAAAGAAGAAGGAAAATGCGATTTTTGGGGGGAGAATTGGGGCAGTTCAGTACAGTAATTATAATATTGAGTTCAAAATTTGTAAGGAGGCAGAGCCGAGTGGGACGACGAAGCCATCATTCGCCGAGTAAAGTGAAACGGTAGATATTCCGGCCCCCAGAAGTGTGACCAATGGAGATTAATTCTTTCTCCTGCATTTTTTATTATGGCGCTTTTCTTTGGGCTGTTGCGTCTATTTGATGAGCACAAATAATGAGGGCCCAAACTTCAGAAATTTTCCTTCTAAAATTAATATTATTTAAGACGTCCGATTTATAAAGTGCGAATTTCAGTTCAGTTTTGAGTAACTAATAAATAATTAATTTATTAATTATCTTAGCTAGTCTCAGGTGTTCATGTTTTTTTTTTTTGGGGCATCAAGTTTTTAGTTTTATTAAAAAGTGAAAATAGTTCGTCGGAAAACAAAAAATATTTACATTGTAATAAATGATAATCATTAATTATTTAATTTTAACTTTTTTTCTTGTTAGGCATAAGTATTGTTCTATTAAAATTAATCTTATTCAAGTTTGCGCACTAAATACGGACATTTTTACCAACAGGAACTCAGTTATAAAAGATGAGCACCTTCTAACGAGTGCTCAGCAAATCTCATGGGCAAACGGTACTCATCTTTGAAACGCACTGTTTAGATAAAAGGAAAGGAATCGTGACCGTCCATTATAATATGATCTGGCTGTTCATTTTTCCCCCAAAAAAAAAATCTCTCATGATTCTTCAAATTTCCCCGGCAAGAAAAGTTCGCAATTGGAGTCGAAGACTGAAAGTGGCGCAAAAACTGAAACCATTTATGTGGCACTGTCCAATCTCAAGTCATCTTCGATCCCACAAACCAAACAACACAATTTATCTCATTCCCTAACCCAATCCCAATCTCAACCTCCTGATTCTGCGTACCAAATAGGGCCAAAGGGTTCAACTTAATTTTGCAGAGCTAGTGAGTAAATAGTTGTGCATTATTTTAGTTAACATTACTCCTCACCAATTAAGCTACATGAGCTATCAACCAATTGTACATAATTGTTCATAAATTACCCATGCCATAAGCCCGCAGCCCATAAGTACTCATACTCATTTGCAATTAAATGATCAAATGAACCCCTTGCTCTTCAAGTCCTCCACGGCTTCCTTGATTATTTGCTCCATTGGAATGAACTTCAAACCCAAATCCATCAGTTTCCTGGACGCATCTTTTGCTCTCAACAACCCTGGTTGGGTATCTCGAGGCAAGCTTCACAGAAAAGAAAATAAGGGTAAATTCACTTAAACAAGTTCTGGTCAATATGCTTTACTGTAATCTATTTGCATTCAAAAGAGAAGAGTTAAGTTACACGGAATAGTTTAAATCCAATCAATAACTTCTGATTGGGAAGGCTTTGCAATTGGGGTGATAAACCAGGATGATTTGATATTCATACGGACGACAATATATGGCAGATTTAAAACAAGTTCCTTTCAAACCATACTCTAATTGACTAACCATTTTCGTCTTATATATATGAGAATGAAGCCAAAGGCAAGCTATAGTATGTACTTTTTTTCCTTTTAATGAAGCAGGAAAACAACGCAGCATGTTGTAAAATTAGTTGATAATTCATCCACGAAAAACATACTGATGATTGATGGCATGCAAGATTCATAAGAGAATTACTGAACTTTATTTCTCCCAGCATGCATTGAGTTGCTTGATGTCAAATAAGAATGCAGTGTTTATTCATGAATTCATGCAGATGAGCTTCCTTCACTCGGAGCACCATCTACCAACAGTTTCCTGATTCATATACTGATATTATAACATGCTATTTTCAAAAATTTAGCAATTCTGAGGTTTCTCAGTTTACCTACCGAGGCACATTATACTCTGGATAAAGTTCAGCGACCTTTGCTACAAAGTCACCATAGTGAGATATGGCTTCAACGCACAAATGTCTACCAGATGCTGCTTTATTCTCATACACCAAAATGTGAGCTAAGGCTACATCTTTAAAGTGGACTGATCCCATAAAGAAGTCCTGATATGTTTCATTGCAGCCTGCAACAAGAATGCAAAAGAAAATCAATAGTAATTCCGAAAAATTATAAAGCCAGAAACATTAGTTTATGTATCTAAACTACTTTTCTATACCGATGGCAGAGCCAGGAAATTTTCCAGTCAGCAAAGATAATTAGTAGGTCTTCCTTTTTGGAGGGAAGGCAATGAAGACTTTGGAGACCTAGAGGGACCAATCTCATTAACATGGACAATTCTCAGAGATGCAAATTACACACCCCTATGTACTCAGTTTTCCCCCTGATGAAACCGCCGGAGAGAAAACAGAACGAGCGAAGCTAGAAAGAATACAATTGGCTTTTGAAATTGCAGTCTCCAAAAATAGAATTTTAGAAGCCACAACATCCGTCGCATAGAAGAAGTTTGACGTATGAATGACGAATTTTACAAAATTCAAATGAAATTTAAAAAAATTAAAAAAAATAAACCATTATTATGCTTTAATTGGAAATGGAAATTTTTCAACAGAACACTTGCCTTGAAGTAGACGTACAAGCATTATCATGCTTGCATTAAGTTTTGGAGAAATCACAGGACCCATGACAGTGCCCGGATTGACCACCACGACGTCCAAACCCTTCTCCTTGGCAAATTCCCAAGCAGATTTCTCAGCCAATGTTTTTGACACCGGATACCATAACTGGCCCACAGCAGTTCAAAGCTGAAGTCAGAAATTTATAATTCATAGGACCACCAAAAAACAGACAAAATAAATCCAAAAAGAAGAGCAGAAATAAACCCTCACTTGGTTTTCCTTGCAGTATTCAATATCGGCCCAGCAATCTTCATTCTTGATAACATCAGATGGCCACTTAGGGCTCGGAGTAATGGAAGAGATCGATGAAGTTACCACGACACGGCTCACCCCAGCTTCCTTAGCCGCCGTGAGCACATTGTTTGTGCCTTTAATAGCAGGGTCCAGCAGCTCTTTCTGCGAGAACAGAGCCCAAAAAAAAAAAAAAGAGCAAATAAATGAGAAATTATTAACGAAATCTAAAGGAATTGAGGGTGAAAATTGGACCTCAGGATCTTGAACTTGGTCGACGATGCAGGGAGAAGCGAGATGGAAAACACCAGCGCAGCCAGCGACGGCGGCGACAATGGAATTGTAATCGAGGAGGTCGATCTGGAAGAGACGGAGGCGAGTGTCAGCGCCTTCAAAGCCTTGAAGGTGCTTGGTTTCAGAATCATCATCTAGCATTCAAAAAATACAAGAAGAAGAAGAAATTGGAGGGAAAAAAAGATGTGTAACAATAACCTGGATTAACATTAACAATCAAGAATAGATGAAGAAATAAAAGAGATGATTGTAACTGAGATCTTTAACGGTGGCGTGTACAGTGTAGCCACGTTCAAGAAGAAGATGGACGAGCCATGAGCCAATGCAGCCACTGCCGCCGGTGACGCACACTACCTTCGACATGCCGTCGGTCTTGGATGCTCAACGCTTAACTGGCAGCGCAGCATTATATTCCGACTTGTGGAGAAAGATCAGCACAGTGAAACGCTGTCGTTTTCATGGAAAAGTGAAACCAGGTCTAACCTCTCCCCCTCAACCACGTGTTCGTTCGTAAACCATAATCCAATCGTGTTCTTGTTGAGTGCAGAGTCTTACAGCATCAAGGTTTAGTGCTATGGGCATCCTATTCTTAAATCATGGCTTTTTAAGTTGCCTGGGGCATCACCATATATATTTAAAAAATAGTGGTAAAAAATAATGGTCTGGCCTTCCTGATTTTCCATTTTTTTTAAAGCAAATTGTGACGATTTTTTTTTTTAAGAAATTGCTACATATTATAACTCCCAAAGACCGGAAAACTTAACTGAACCCTATCCGATTGCAAGTGTTATGACAGTAATCTTTACCTAAAATATTTTGTAACTCAAAAGGTATAGTATAAATCTCCAAGTCCTCACTTAGCAAGATAGTTAGTAGCTACTTTGCTATTACGGGTTCTCTAGATGATTCTGACTTCCCAACTCTTTTGAAGCATGGCTCTTATCTATTCGGTTACACTGTAATCAGCATGAGTCCCATCAGAATAATTAGACACAAGCCCAATTGCATTTGCTGCATCAAATTCTAAGATAACATAACGATATCTTGCATCCCTAGCGACCTTGAGGCCATGAAGGCAAGCCCAGAGCCCGGTTGCGAGTGCGTCAGCGTCAATCATGATGAATAAACCCTCAAAGAAGTCTACCACATGGGTGTCGCAACAGACTTCTACAAATAAACAAGGGTGTTTAATTTATCTCGTTCTGACTATCCTATCCCAATCCTGGTCAATTCAAAAGGAGACAGGGTGGGACCAAAAAAATTGTAAAATAGAATAACTCCAGGACCAGACAATACAGTTATCAAGATAGGGTCGTCTCATCCCGCCTCAAGTATTTACTTATTTATTTTAAAAAAAAAAATTTGCTCAGTAAATTAATATTAGTATTTGTTTTTTTTTCAATTATTTTTTTTTATTGTCAAAGGTAGGGGTGTTCATAAAGGCCATTAGTTTGAAGTACCTATCTGAGCTTGCCAAAAACAATTCCCAGCCTGGCCTAAAACAGGGCATTTTCAAGTTGAGCTAATAACAGACAGGGTTGGGCCAAGGGTAAGGCATGCAACCGTGCCCATTTTGCCCTACCTACAGTATATATGGTTATTTATATTATATTATATATATTTTTACCAGAATTATATATATAATATAATATTAATATATTTGATTCATTTTATTTCAATACCCAAAACCAACATTACTCCCTTATTTTACTAGACTCTACATTTTAAAGTTTTAGTTTTTTTTAAAAGGTATACTACTTTTTAAATTACTTTATTGTGTACAATAACTGTCTTTTAACCTTTTCATATTGATATTACTTCATATATCACAAAATTATACTAATTATACTAATTTGAATGTGATATATAGATCACTATAAACTATATTAAACCATAAGTGTTGGGTAGCTTGTATTTTTTTTTATATGCTGTCATTTTCTCAATTTTGTGGAGACTAATACAAAACATTTTGAGTTCAAGACTTTAATTACAATGTTTTATAATGTTGTTTTTAATAAATTATGGATGTTGTTTAATTCTTGAAGCATGAATATTTATTAAGACATATAGTCGTATTTTAAATTTTAAGATTCAAGTTGTAAATTTAGACAAGGAAAACCCATCCTACCCAACCCTCATTAGCCCAACCCAAAATGGCTAGGGCTTCTACCACCTAGGGCTAGGTGCTTATCCTTTGAGCTAGGCATCAAGTAGGGGTCATGCACACCCCAACCCTGCTTATACACACCCCTATCAAAGGCATGATGTCTTTGCTTATAATTTGGGTTTTCTACATAATAATTTCTTAAGTGTTTTTATCTTTTAAAAGCCTATTGAAAATGAATAATCCAACATGAAGAGGAAAAGGGATCTAAAATTTTGGCCAAAAATTGTTGTGGTTTGGATAAAAAGGGGATGAGATAGGACACAGGACAGAAATCTTGTCCCATCAACATCCCTAACTGCAAGCAGTGTTTCCAGTAGTATGGGAAAAATCTCCTTCCACATTAATCTTGATCCAGTTATCTTCTACTGGTCTCTATTTTTCTGTCCTAACATAGCATTGTGCTCCTTGAATGTTCATACCATTGGACCTCTTTCATGTTGAAGACAAGGGCTCTAGCATTAGCAAGAATCATTTCATTGCGAATCCTCTTTCCTTCAAACACTAAGGGATTGTATCATCCAACACGCTACATGGCAAAGATAGCACCCTACTCATCAGTCTGAACCTTTTCTTCTAATGTTCTCCCAAATCCAATAATAGAGCAGAGAAGAGAAGAAATGACACTAAAGGGAGGGATGAACAAATTTCTTCCAAACAAGGTTTATGTACTCATAGTCTAGGAAAATGTGAAGAACACCCTCCAACTCTTGATTACCTACTAAGCAAATGTTCTCACTTAAACCCCTCTTGCATCTCATTGCATTAGTCAAGAGGCCTTTCTGTGACGCTAGCCAAACCAAAGACTGACACTTTTAAGGAACTCATAATCTCCATATATACTTCCAAAGAGCATCCACATTGTTAGCTAATGGCGAAAGGCACTCATATGCTGACTTTATGGAAAAATCGCCGCTACGCTCTCGCTTTCAACAAATAGAGTGACTCCCACCTTGCAAGTTGATCCCTTCTTTTACCTTATCCCAAGTTGCTTTGATACCTAACCACACATTGGAGCCTTTTCTATTGAGGTCTATTGTTGAGAGAAGGTCATTCCCACACCAGTACTTATCCCTAATTGGCATACTTCTAAGTTGAACCCTTCAAAAAAAATTTTAAAATTTTGGGAGAAAATTAATATGCAAGTCTTTATCTTCAATTATATTCGCTCTAATACTCATAATTTATTAATTTGAAATAGTATCAATAGCAAATTACATGGCTCTCACTTAGTATACATCTAGATTATTTGTCATATTGATCCCATCAAAAATTAAAATCAATCATATTACATATTACATATAAACGTAAGGAGAGAGTTGTAAGTACGAAAAATTTTTAATTTTAAGTTGGTAATAAATAAATTTTATTTTAAAAATTCTCTTCAATTTTGTATTGGAAAAATGGCAAAAAAAATAGACTTTTGAATATATGAAGCTGCGAAATAGATACTTGAATTAATAAAATTGCTGTCAGAGACTACGTCTTAAATATAAACAATGAAATATTGAGAAAAAGACCAAAATACTTTATTCTTCTCTTTCCTTTTTTATCATCTCCTCCTCTTTTCTTCTTCTCTTCCTCTCCCTCTCTTCATCCTTCTCTTTCCCACTCCTCCCCTGGCCCATCCTTGTCCTTCTCTAGCACTTATATATACACACACATATATATATTAACAATGATATATAAGAGAGATGTGGATTTGTAATATATATGCAGGAAACTTTGATGTAGCAAAGAACATTCAAAATTATGAAAGAATTAACAGTGGAAGCAAGGTTGCCAATATTCAACTTATACGAATGCTTGCCTTCATCAAAATAAGATGTCTTATTACTACTCTCACTTTTGCTTAATAAATTGATGATGTTCATAATGAGTCAATCAATTCATGTGGTGTGTGCTATTATTATAATAAGGATTAAGGTGCAAATATACCTATGAACTTATATCAAATGTGTGCCTGGCCCCATAAACAAACCTTGGGTGCAAAAACACACATTATGATTTTAAAAAGTTGCAAAAATGTCACGACCATTAATTATTGTAGTGTTGACTGTTTGTTTGGCCGAAGATGCTGATGTGGGCACTAATGTAGCTTAGAGAGTCTGATTTTTTTTTTTAAAAAAAAAAAGAGTGAAAGTGCAAATATAACTATAAACTTTTGTCAAATGTGCATCTAACTCAATAAACAAACCTAAGGTGCAAAAATACCTATGATCATTTCAAAGAACTCTAAAATATTATAGTTGTTTAATTTATTAAAAATGACCATCTAATTTAAACTTTTGACCAAATAAGGAAATATAGATGGTATGCTAGCATTTTAGTCTTCCTCCTTCAAATATAACCTCTTTCTCCTTATAAACAATTGTGTTTAAGTGTCCCTCAAAGAGAGGAAGTCTCCATAGCACTCACTCCTTCATTTTATCCCTCTCAGCCTCTCTTGTTCTAAGAAGAATAATACTACTCTATCAGCTCCACTCTAATCTTCATCAACGAGTAGCTAGAGAAGACGTGACAAGAGGAGCTGAAAGAGAGTAGCATTGTTCTTTATAGACAAAGAGAGACTTTGATAGATAAAATAAAGGAATAAGTTTTGCAGAGAGTTTCAACTTGTCTTCTCTTCAATCAAGGTGCAATGGTGAGGAGACAACATCGTTGGGATCAAAGGGAGATTGAAATGTGATCATTTAAAAGAAGGAGAGGGTTACACTTAAAGGAGGGAGACTGAAACACTAGTTTGGTGTTCGTATCTCCTTATTTAGTCAAAAGTTTGAATTAAAAGGTTAACTTTGATGAATTAAATGACTCTAGCATTTTAGGGTTCTTTTAAAATGATCATGGGTATTTTTGCTTCCAAGTTTGTTTATAGTGTTAGGTACAACATCCCAAATTTTAGGCTCAAAATTGCAAGAAATAGCTTGAAATGGGCATACTACTAGACCCCTTTTGGCAGGAGTCCTAGAAATTCCTTAAAAGAATAGAAAGATTCTCAGAGACAATATTATAAAGTAAAAGTTTTTTGAGACTAAGAGACAAGAAATTTAGAGACTTCAATGAAGTCTCGAGGGCTTCGTATCACAAATGAGGATGAATATGGGCTAAAGATTATGCTAGAGACCTTAATGAGATGATCCCTTATGTTAAATCCTAGTAAGGACCTAATTGTATTTTAAAAAGTTTTGGGTCGGAAATGGTAATGATGAAATGCATGTCCAAAAATTTTATGAGAAATGAGGAACCTCAAACTAACTGAGAGCTAGAT